CCACCTGTCCTTTCAGCTATGGGCTTCCAAACTTCTATTCAGGGCAGATCAGCATGATGCAGCTACTTTTATGTTACAAATGAAAAAATACTGAGTAACCCAGGCAGAAATGAAGAAACAGAGAAAGATTTAAATGCTCAGAGTGATAGGATTACTACAACCATGAATTTGAACAATAACTGGGGAGAAGAGTAAATAAAAAATTTGGCTTCAAAGAAAAGCTAGAGAACAGTCTATGTTCTTAAAGTCTAGTCTTCCCGAGTACACTCAGTTTTAAGCCTTTTTATTTGTCTAAATCATAAGGACAGAATAAATCATCTCTCTTCAAATCCTGAGAGCCATGCTCTGAGCAATCAAGTGAGATCCAAGAGTCAGAAAGCCACTGTCCACGTGGTCAAAACTGAGAGTCCTCTAAAGACGAAGGCTGGAAAGAAACTACTATCTTGAGATTGAATTCAAATATCAGAATGAGAGTGACCAAGCAGAACCCATGAGACCTAAGCCATGCATGGATTTATACAAGGCCCAGAAGAAAGGCTCCAAGGTTAAAAGAATATTTGTGATTCTAAAAGACGGATTTCTCCCACTCATCAGGGTAATAATACATATAATTATGAGAAAAGACATATTAAAGAGAGAAAAGCAATAGAACAGCAACAGTAAAGATAATAAAGAGATAGAGGTAAAGATAAAGATATAGATATAGATAAAGACACAGACATTAGGATCCTCAATCAGAATCCAGAAAGCAGAGAGATCTCCAGAATGCCTGTGGCTAATACACTAACAGATCTCAAAGACAGTGCCAAAGGTAAACACCACACACAGTCTAAAACAGCCTTGAACCTCATTCAGCACTGGTGTGCAATCCATCACTGTGTTGCAAGGCTGGAAGAAATCTCATCTCCTTGGATGACAACCACATATTACCAGCCATGTGCATGAAAATATACATTTATCTTTAAACACTATCAACACACACCAAAGTACCAAGATGCTAACATGTTGAAGATAATCAAGAGCCAAGATCAAAAATAGAAAAGCTGAATTTCCTCTCCCATYTGTAGGTGGATCTGTGGGTGGATCAGTGCCAAAAGCTCAGTGAGTGAAAGGAGGAGAAAACTGAGGCACAATGGACTCAGAAACAGCCCTCTTCCGTTCCATTCCCTTGTTGGTTTATCTCTACCTTGCTCCCCCTCATGGTGCCCTCTCTCTCCTTCATCTTGGTATTACTCTCTGTGCAGATCTTTCTTTCCCTCCATTTCTCCTCCCTTTCCCTCCATCTCTCCTCCCTTTCCTACCGCGCCAAGGTCATGGAAATGCAGGCGCTGAGGAAGCAGCTACAGGATTACAATAGAAAACAATCACACTGGAAAGGGCTAAAGTGGAACCCAAGGCAGAGAAATACAAAAGAACCCTGATTAGTAAGGAAACTTTGCCTCTGCTTCTAGTTCTTAAAATATGCACAGCTAAATAGAGCTGATGTTCAATTGTGAATTTGGTAATCACCATTCTAGTTAGAGGGGCATGCTGATGTACACTGTTTTCCTAGTATTTGTACAGTTCACACATGTATGGTCTTGGTTCTTCTCAATTAAGTTTCTTGTTTTTAAATTACTAAATAAAAGCATCCCTTTCTAAATGGCGTACGCAAAAACTCCGCAAAACAATGTGAAACAACTAATCACACAGGAATGATGTTGGTTGTTTAAAAAAATCCTGCCTAGCCCTGTCTGGTAGATGACCAATCACGATGTTAACAGACAGACAGTCAACCTAAGTCTGTGCCCTATTTGGCGAACTGCATGATCCCATTCCTGACTGATAATGTGAATTTCTAAATTGATTTATCAAAGTGAACCAATTCACAAATAACAATTTAAAACTGATAGAAATGGAGTTAAGACTCTGAAAATATACAAATCTGGACTACAGGAAAGAGGTGAACTCTCCTTCAGTCTCCCTCACCCGCCTCTGCCCGCTATCAACAGTTCAACACACATGCTCCCTATTTCTTCCTCTACTTGGCAATCTTTGAACACTACCAGCAGCTTATGCTAGGAACTTACAAAAAACAGTGGAGGAATCTACAAAAGAAATGGAGAAAACACAGCATAAAGTAACTGCACTCTTTAAATACTTACACACAAACTAAAGAATTAAAAAATACAAATTTATTTGATTATCCAATAAACATTTATTTGAAGACCATGTATACGTGCTGGGCTCAGGTTAACAGGTCACACACTCCTTGGGACTCTCCCCTCCCAAGACTTCAAGGAAGTGGCCCCTGAATTTTCTAAGAGAAAACAATTTTGGCACACATCTCAAAGGGTGTTCTAACATTGTTTTATAATGCAATATTATTTTCTCTCTAATCTCACAATTATAAGGGACCAGGTAGTTTAAAGTCAATATCACTTAATATTTTGCTTGAATGATCTTTGAAATGGAAATCCTGTTAACCTACTATTTTGCCTCTATAGGAATAAACATTATTATATTTACTATCCACAGTTCTCAAACTAGATATGAATACTGCCCTCTCCCAGGTTAAGGGCAGGGCACCACCAGATAAGATAGAATTTCAGATAGGAAACAAAGCCACAGATGGAAGGGCACACCTCCCTAGGAAAACAATTTTCCCCTCAGAAGAAAATATATTATTTTATATTAAAAGAAGTCCCAACATATCATGTAGTAAAATTAACAACTAGTTGATGTTTTTTAAAGATAAAAATCCCAAAACTTTTAAGAAAATTTCTACTTGCAGCAGTGTATTAGGTTATATCCACAATATATGGCATTTTCTGCAAATGATCCTCTTGCCTTTAAAAGTGTGTAGCTTTTTTTTTTTTGGGGGGGGGGTGAGGGGAGAGTTATGCTAGGGATCAAACCCTGGGACTCACCCATGCTAGGCAAGTGCTCTATCACTGAGCTACACCACCAGTCCTTAAATGTTCTTTGATGAAACTTTGGGGGAATGTTTCACACACACTGTGAAATCTTTAATAAGAGTGTGAATTACATCCAAGTCCTTCTCTTTGTCCCCTGGTACCTAGGACAGTACCGATGACAGTATCTGGCACATGGTGGGTACTCAACAATGCTTGCAGAATTAATTTGGCTGAAATAATGACAACAGCATTATCAATAACAAAAGACTGTTATCACATTTGGATGGAAGGAAGAAAAGATGAACAGTTGTATGAGGAAGTAGAGGAGAGGCAATCCAATTTACCAAAACAACTAATGGTTGCCATGGTAACAATCAGATGAAGCAACTCAATTTAGTTCTTTTCCACTAACAAGTACTGGAAGGCAAATATTATACTTGTTTATTTCAGATTGGAAGGACTTAGGACACAGGTCTACCAAGTGACACTGGTGCCCATTAAATTTGATAGCCTCTGGAGAATTTGGAAAGGCATGATAATAGTAATTCCACCAATGATATTACTCCTGGTATCTACTTTGACCCTAAAAAGGTCACTAATCATTTAAAGATCAAGTGTCAAACATCTGCTGCAGACTTGATATCTGTGAGAAAGAGATATTACACACACACACACACACACACACACACACATCAAATATGATGTGGACTCACCCTGCTTCATTCCTAAGATTATTACTTTTAAAAAATTAGCTGGATCCAAACTAAGTTACAGAATGAAAGATGACTCAAACAAACAATATAGTTCATAGTAATGTAAAAATTTTCTACTTCCCTGGTAGAGGCACTGCATTTTTACCTCACTTGTAAACAGTAGAAAGGATCAGTATCACACCCACTTTCTCCACACACTCCCTCTTTCACCTGAGTGAGTCATTCCCCCTGCACAGTATTCCCCTTACTTTCTAGACTTGAGAGAGACACTGGGAGGAGGAGGAAGCAAGGACTCCCAGATCTTAGGCCTTGAACCAATGAACAAGCACACTGACAAATCCCAAGACTATTTCCTTTTCTTAGTTTTAAGTCTCAGATATGCATTCTGATCACTAAAACGGAGCCTTTCTTATATCAATAAGGACATCTAGAGCTCAATATATTGTCAGCTAATATCCAAACAGGAAGCAGGAAAGCATGTTCAGCACTACAGTCTGAAAAGCAGAAATAGCAGCTGGAGACCTACTGTGACACCAAGACATGGACAGAAGCAAATGAAACTGAAAAAAGCTCTGAGCATCTCTCCCTCCATGCCCTGAAATCCCACCTGCCGCCATTCCCTTAACCCCTGGAAATTAAGTTAGTAACTTAGTATTATTTATTTCTCTCAGAATCATAGGGGCAATGAATATACAGTATGATTTTGTCATTTTATTCTAGTGTATAAAAAGTGAGAGTTGAATCCCTGGTCTTTAACTAACCGACCAAGTACCTTAATTTCTGGGTCAGTTTCTCCTTCAATCAGAGATAAGCCTTCTTTCCATGAATTCTGAAAATTAAAGGCATGAACTCTGTAAAATGCCTATCCCACAGTAGGCATCAGTGAATATCAGTGAATAAATGTATATGCCTGACCAAGTTTTCTCTTCTACCTAGTCTTCGGAAAATAACAAATCCAAAAGCTACTATAAAGGATGCCAAATTGGCAAACTGCCCAGGCATTAGCCTCAGGGTGCAACCAGAAGGCCTTGAGTAGAGGATGACGTAATAGGGCCCTGTTGAGACTTAGGGAGCGCTCCTAAACCCGTGCTGTGTGCCTGTATGGCGGCTGCGGGTTTCAAGGTGGCACCTGTAATTAACAAAGTGCCATTTGCATGGCTCAGAAATCAGCAAGTGAAACTTTCCCCCTACAGCAGGATTATGTGAGCGCATTTCCTTAACTTTTTTTTTTTTTTGGCAAAGTTAAAATAAGTTGCTGAACAGAGAAAAGCAACTCACAGAAGAGCCGGATCCACTGGGTCTGCGTGTCCTGAAAGTTCAGGACAGAAGGCAGTGCAGCAGAGCAGGCAGGAAATGCCATCATTACCTCCCGCCCCTGAAGCACACACACCTGGGGATGAACTTGGCCTCGTCTCCGAGTCGCGCCTGGAAGTCCTGCCAAGCCCGACCCGGGTTCGTCGGTCCCCACGGGGCGGACAGATCCGCGGCGTCGTCCAGAATGTCCACGTCTTCGTCGCAGTCCGCGGGTAGGGGTCCCGGCTCCGCAGTAGCAGGCGCGGGCTCCAGTGGCCCCCAGCCCCGGCGCCGTCCTCCGCGCCGGGCCCCGCGGAAGCCGCGCGCGAACTCCTGGAAGGTGATGACACCGTCGCTATTGGCGTCCAGCCGCTGGAACACGGCCTCGGCATCGGCCGGCAACACTCGCAGCTCGGTGCACAGCGCGCGGAACTCCTCACGCTCCAGGCGCCCGGAGCGGTTCGCGTCGCAGGCAGCGAAGAGGGAGCGCAGACGGGCGAGCTCCTCCGGGTCCCCGTCCGCCTCCATCCCGCCGGCGAGGACAGCCGACCGGGCTCCGGAGCGCAACCGGACAGCGCGAATCTGGGAAGTCGGGGCCACCTGCTGCTGCTGGGAGCCCCGGCGAGTTGGGCTCGTCAGGCTGGTTCGGCCACTTGCCGGGAATATCCGGGCGGGGCGAAGCGTCTGGGCGGGTCGAGGGCGGCCTGGCGGGCGGCGCGCTTCCACGCTGGTGACTGCCGGTCCCCTACAAGCCCGAGAGAGGTCGGCGTGCCCCGGACTCCCTGCACAGAGCTGCAGCGCCGGGGGCTACTGAATCCAGCGCTGCGCTTTGGCACCCTCCACTTTCCCCGCGGGTCTGGCTCCGCCCAGCCAAGAGGAGGAACCTGGCTCTGGTTTCCATGCCTCCGGGAACCGGCCTGAGTCGGACCAGTAGGATTTGGGGAACCCAGCAGGAAATAGGGGTGCTTCGCTTAACCACTGATTGCTCTAGTAAAGCGCATGGCTCAACTCTCCCCAGAGGTGGTGCTGGCATGAGCCACGGAAGCTAACTTCACGGGAAAAGAAGGGGAAAGGAAGGGAGGGGTGAGATTCCAAATTGGTTAGTTATGTGCAATAAGTATTCTCTTCTAATTTCAGAAACTTGGTAAACCTTTATGTACAAGTTTTCAGACAAACCAAAGTACAAAAGTTTCCTGGAAGACCCCCTTTTTTAATTTTATAAGCTATCGTTAAACTATATTCATCTAACACGAGGGCCCCTTGTCATCTAGATTTTCCATATCCCCCCAATCCTAACAATTTTTCTTAATCCATGATTCCTCAGCCTGCCAGAAAATAATAACCAAAATTGCTTGACAGGCAACATTTTTGAAAAACTGAAAAAGACTAGCGTAGTTTGGCTTGGATTTGTTTGGGGATTGATTTTTTTTCTTTTCTCTAATAAACTTTATGGAAATTATATACTCAAAGGTATACTACGCTTTGATTTTAAACACTTATTTTGATTTATTTTTTAACACTGACTTCTTTGTTCATATAAGATCTTTAAAATCCTTCTGTTTATATCCTTTTAAGAAAATTCTGTCCTTCCATTTTCAGGAGACCCTCAGACTGTCTTGGATTATGACTGTGTCCAGGTGATTCTCCTGACCTATGAAAATACATGTAGGTGGGCTGGGGATGTGGCTCAAGCGGTAGCCCGCTCGCCTGGCATGAGCAGGGCGCTGGTTCCGATCCTCAGCACCACATAAAAATAAAGATGTTGTGTCCACCGAAAACTAGAAAATAAATATTAAAAAATTCTCTCTCTTAAAAAAAAAAGAAAGAAAATATGTGTAGCTTATTTTTACTTATAGATTTTCTCTATCTTTTAGATTTTTATTTACTCTTATTTCTTTTTGTTTTGACTATATTTCCCTTTTATCTTATTCTAGAGTACTTTTGTTGCTTAATACTTGGATTTTTTAAATATAATAATAAGTAGGGTATTTGACTGAGGTGTTCCCTCTAGGCAAACGTTCTTAAACACAAAGCTCAGTGCCAAACACCTGAGAAACTGTTTCTTGAATTGTACCGTTTCCTAACATCCACATTCACAGCATCTATCATGCTGTAAATATAACTCCATCTGTAAATTTAACTAGTCAGTTATGAGAGTCATTCCATTAGAAGCCCTAATCTTAGCACTAATTGCTAAAGGAAGGTAGTGCTGTATAGTTAACAACTAACACATTGAAATGAGTTTTATCATTAGTGCCATATAGTTAACTGATTTTGAGTCTATTTGCTTTTCTGTTTATTCTAAAGATTGATTTTTCCATACAAAGTAAAAAAGTTACTAGCTTGGTAATGATTTAAAACTTTACAGATACACTTATTAAACTGAATTTTTGAAATATTATCATACTGTTTAGACATTAATGACTCTGTTCTTTCAAAACAGAGGAGTTAGTGATTTTTAACTGCTTAAGCAGACTGCTCACACAACTTCATTTCTGAATTTTTACTGTGAACTTTGTGCCCCTTATTTATGAATTCTTCTGTTTTTTTGTTTGTTTGTTTGTTTTGTTTTTTTGTTTTCTTGGTAACAGGGATTGAACTCAGGGACACTCCACCACTGAGCCACATCCCCAGCCCTATTTCGTATTTTATTTAGAGACAAGGTATCACTGAGTTACTTAATGCCTGCTTTTGCTGAGGCTGGCTTTGAACTTGCAATCCTCCTGCCTCATCCTCCCAAGCCGCTGGGATTATAGATGGGTGTCCACCATGCCCAGCAATTCTTCTGTTCTTTGACCTGCTTTTCCTTTTCCTTGAGCCCTTCATCACAAAGTCATCAAGAAACACATATTATTCCAAATATCATATGCATATGTTTTATTTCCACTGATATTAATATGTCTCAGACTAACTATATTAATTATCATTACATAACAACACATAGTGATTTTTTGGTGTGTTTGTGTGTGGTGCTGGGGATTGAACCCAGGGCCTTGTGCATGCAAGGCAAGCACTCTACCAACTGAGCTGTATCCCCAGCCCAACATAGTGATTTAAAACAGTGTCCATTTATTCATTCATAATTCCATTGTCATCCCTTTGAATGGGGTTCAGCTATGTGGTTTTTCTGCTAGCTTACCTGGGATCACTCAGGTGGTGACAGTTCCTATGAGCCAACTGGGGCTATTGGTCTTAGAGGGCCTTGCTCACATGTCCAGAAGGTGATGCTGGCTGTTGACTGGCTCAAATGTCTTTCAGAAGAGAGCATGGGCTTCACCACACAGTGGCAATATTTCAAAAGAGTAAGGTCATAATGCATAAGTGCTTTTGAAATCTCAGCTTGTGTCATATTGTTAACATTTTATTGACCTGTACAAGTCACGTAGCCAAACCTTAACTCAATGTGTCAAAGAACTAAACAAGCCGTGGATCCAGGGAGACACCTTTCCTATAACAGCAGACCACACATGGGTGCTACAACAATCCCTATTCCCCCAGGGTCTGTCTTACTGTCCTCTTATTCATTCTGCAGCACCACAGCTGRACAGTCCTTAAACACCAATTATTCTCTTAGCCCAGTGGTTCCCTATCAGGTGGCAGTTTTATTCCCTATGGCACATTTGGCAATGTCTGGAGGCATTTTTGGTTAAGAAGAAAGGAATGCTGGAATGTTACTGGTATCCAGTAGGGAGATGCTTAATACTCCATGATGCATGGACTGGCTCCTTCCTTCTCTGTATGGTTTGGATGTGAGGTATCCCCCAAAGCTCATGTATGAGTGAATTAATCTCTGATGGGATTAAGTGGTGGCTGGAGGCAGGGTGGGTGTGGCTAAAGGAAGTGGTTCATTGGGAGTGTGGCTTTGGGGTATATATTTGTATCTAGCAAGTGGAAACCTCTCTCTTTTCTGCCGATCATCATATGAGCTGCTTCCTTTGGCCACACTCTTTCTCCATTATGTCCTGCCTCACCTTGAGTCCCAAGGAATGGAGCCAGTCACTTATGGACTGAGATCTCTGAAACATGAGCCTTTAAATAAACTTTTCCTCCCCTACAGTTCTGTTCAGGTCCTTTAGTCACAGCAGTGAGAAATCTGACTAAAACACTCTTTCACTCCATTACAAAGAATTATCTGGCCAAAATTGTCAGTAGTGTGGAGCTTGAGAAAGACTGCACCCTAGCTTATAAACCTCAAATGATGCCACAGTAAAAAGAGAACCAAGGGTACACTCTTCATATTCAAAGCCCTCTCAATCTAGTTCTTCTGTAGACATCCAATCACATCTCCCTTTAGCCACATTTACCTGATTAATTTAATATTTCCTTATTATCAGGACAAAATGTAAATATCAAGCAAATTCTTCAGATTTTTCCCTCTTCTTCCTAACCAAGAGATTTCCCAGCTTCGGTAGAATTGCATCTTGTTTTTCCTACCAGGATTTCCTCCATTTGATTGTGATGTGTTACTTACAAATACACTGCTTAGCAGTGTATTTCATTATATCAGCTTAAGTAACGGGCTTCAGGAATGCTTTTGAATATCCTCAGCAATACTCTCAGGGGAAAGTCAATGTTATATAATCAGTCTCTAATTTTTTAAAKAAACATAGGAAATTGGATCCTCTTCTATTTTAGCATCCAGAAACAGCTAGCCAAGAACAGAGGAGCCTTTGAAAGTCAGTGAATTGGTAGGAAAGGAGAGCTTGCCCATGGTTGTTATCATGACTTTCAGAGAGATCAGCTTGCTCTTTTGCTGCCCAAGGATCTTAAAAATCGGAGATAATCTTGTTAGAGTGTGTTTCTCAAAGTAGTGAAAAGATATTCTTGGAAAGAGACCTTTATGATCAAGTATATTCATAAAATACAAATAAATTTGGAAAAGAATCCTTCTCAAATTCCTTTTTGGATGAGGTAATGAACACTAATTAATCTAATATTTCCTAATTGCTTCAAAATATGTGAAGAGTTAGTGTTTGATTTGTTTACAATTTCTATAAGCTTTCCACAAAGTGCTCTTGAGGACTGTATTGTAGGAAACTTCGTGTTAGACAATGACTAGGATGGTGAGTTATAAGAAATGATCCCTGGATACTACATTATACACTGACCCAACTTCCCATAATATAATGAACCAACCCCCTTAACCTACAATAGTAGTAACAGATAGCCTTGCTTTTTCCCTCATCACAGGAGGAAGTCATTCAATCTTTCAACATTAATTTTGATGTTTCTACATTTATTGTAGATGCCCTTTATTTGGTTCAGGAAGTTTCCCTCTACTCCTAGTTGCTGGGAATATCTATCATGAATGGAGTTTGCATTTTGTTAGATGGTTCCAACATCTACTTAGATGATCAAGTTGTTTTTGCACCTTTGTTCAGTTAATGTGGTGAATGATATTGATGAATTTTCACATTTTAATCCAATTCTTGTTCTCCATGTGATCTCAGAGCTTCTTTAATAGTCTGTCCACCAATTTTCTATCAGCTCTAAGAGTGAGTTTTCATAGAGTCTGGGCAAGACTTCTTATGATCTAGCCTTCAGAGTTCAGGCACCTTATATTGGTCTATCAGATCACTGAGACCAGCCCAGATTCTAGGGGAAGGAAATTAATCTCCCTCTAGTGGGAAGAGTAGTAAAGAATTTGAAGACATCTCAAACATATCTTATCTTTCTCTGAATTTGTCTTCACATTACCAACAATTTTTTTTCTGCCTGTCTATATGTTTGAATAGAATGAAATATTTCCCATATCAGCTCCATCCACCATATTGATCAGATT